CAAGTGACCCCTGGCTGCCTCCTCAGCACCTGCGTTTCAGCTCTTGGAACCAGCCCAGGTGTTCTGGCTAGCTTTCACACGCCTCTCCCAGCCTGTGGGTGCTGGGAGACTGCCTCTGGGTCACATCAGCTGGATGTATTTTTATTCTCAGCGCCTCAGAGGTGCCCCCTCCCTCGCCCTCATCAGCAGGGAGGGCGCTAGCAACAGGAGTGGCTTTCCCAGGCCGCTGTGGGACCAGGAATGCAGATCTTGGGGTGGGCCCTTTCACTTCCCTCCGGGGGAAGCCTGCGGGGGTCTTGGCTCCCGTGAAGCACAACCAAGTAGGGGTGAGGGCTGTGGGCATGAACTTGTGAGCTGCCCAGTAGCCCCCACCCTGGGGTGGGGCACCGGTGTTCTCAGGCTGCCCATTCATTCCCCACCCCACAAGGTAGCCTTTGAGAATTGAGCTCAGAAGCAATTCCATCATCTACCACCTGGCGGACTTGTTTAACCTTTGGGATAGGGAAACTGCTATGGAAGAAAGGGTCCACGGAGACATGCTTCCCTGAGCTACAAAAAGTCTGAAGCTCCTCGGGTGCCTTTTGGTCCAGGGCATTTCGGACAAACCTCCTTCTTTTGGCTGTCCCCCTAGATCTGGCTCAGGCAGCTGCCTTCAAGCTCCCTGTGTATGGGGGGTGGGGGAGGGGTGGCAGGCAGGTTAGCAGTGAGAGGCATGTCTCCTCAACAAGTGCTCAAGAGTAGCACAACAGTAACAGTAGCACGGCAGTAACAGTAGCTCAGCAGTAACAGTACAGCAGTTAACAGTAGCACAGCAGTAACAACAGCACAACAGTCACAGCGCAGCAGTAACAACAGCACAGCAGTAACAGCAGCACAGCAGTAACAGCAGCACAGCAGTTACAATACAGCAGTAACAGGATAGCAGTAAAACCAGCACAGCAGTAACAGCAGCACAGCAGTAACAGTAGCGCGGCAGTAACAGTAGCTCGGCAGTAACAGTTCAGTAGTAACAGTAGCACGGCAGTAACAGTGCAGCAGTAACAGCAGCACAGCAGTAACAGCACAGCAGTAACAGCAGCACAGCAGTACACAGCACAGCAGTAACAGCAGCACAGCAGTA